AAAGTAGACAAAATGTGTGTGTGTGTATGTGTGTGTGTGTGTACATATTTTGAGCTAAGAGTTTCTGACTATGGTGCAGTATGCATAAAATTAACAGATTCATCTAATGTTTGAATTATTATAATATCGAGTTCGATTCCTCCACCCCTCTCGGAGAGCCCGGCAAGCTACCAACGATATCTCACCTACACGGCAAAGCCTCGCAAGCTACCCATGACGTATTCAATATGCCAAACACAGTAACAAGTCTCACAATGTTACTGGGCCCGCTCCAGAAAATTGATGAACAGCGGGAGGACAGTGACAGTGACAGTGATTTTAAAAAGGTATATATACACAAATATATTTCACCCACACAACAAAGCCTGGCAAGCTCTTCGTGATGTATTCAATATGCCAAACACAGTAAGAACAAGTCTCACAGTGAAGATGTTACTGGGTCTGCTCGAGCAAATTGATGAACAACGAGAGGATGGTGCTACAGTGCTACATATATATATAATCTTTTAAATCTAAGCAAGTCCAAGGCTGGAGATTAGTTACAATACATAAGAGAGTTAGTTATATATAAAGACTTAAACAAGTAAATAAGGACCAAAGTCAGCAAAGCATTTTGGCAGGGGCTCCTGTCAGTAAGAGAGATATAGTCAAGAAAGACTTGAAAATTCTCACCTTCAGTGTTAAACACTGTGACACCCTCCAATGTTTTAATATTTTCAACAGTGTTTTTGTGAGGAAACAGGAACATGGATTTTGTTTGGCATGTTCAAAGACCGTGATGTTCATACAAACTTTCGATGCTTTCAAATACAAACTTTCTCTGACCCACTGATAGCAGGCTGACCTATATGAGGTAAAGGTAAAGGTAAAGGCCCTCCCGTTGATCGTCGATTTGCTCGAGCGGGCCCAGTAACGTCTCCATTGGAGACTTTGTTGTTACTGTGTCTGGCATATCAAATACTCTCGGTAGCTTGCCGGGCTCTCCGAGACCTATATGAATTCTGCATAAATTGGGTAATAGTCCTGTGTAGTGATACTGAAACAAGCAGCAAGGAACAGTGAAAATCGCAATAAAATGGAATAAGAATTAAAATGGAACTAAACAAACTAAAGGACATCCATAACATTGAAACTTCCCATTGTGTGTGTGTGTGCGTGTGTGTGTGTTAAATGAGCACCATTTGTATTTACTGAGATGAAATCTCTGTGCTCTCTCATTGAATAAGAACAATTTGTCAAGCAATTTGTATATACCATGCAGATCGCATTAAGTAACAGTAATCAGTAATTTGGCAAGGAGTGGGAGGAGTAGGCATAAAAATATATGTACATATATTTATATATCATGAACAATAAAGGGTAAGAGTGGTGTTGGTGATTTTTGCTGTTTTATAGCTTGCTGGCACTTTGTTAGTGTGTTTTACTATTATAATCAAGGGAAAAAGGAATATGATCTAGGGTTTTATTTCAAAATGAAGTTGCCTCAGAAAGCATGCAGATGACAACCCTTCACAAATCATGGTGGTCCAATGAGAAATCTGCAAGTACCAAACAGAATGAAGAGAACCTGGGGGGTACTGGGGGGTAGTGAGTTCTTTGCAGGGAGAAGAAAGAGTATATGCACAGCAGTGTTGGAAAACAAACCCAGTCAGAGCCTCAGATTCTGAGGAAGCGGAGACCAGATGGGAGCAAAAGGGTTTCAAGGAGGGAAGTAAGATGAGCATCCCAGGCCCTACTCCAAGGAGGATAGCAGAAGCAGGAATGGATTCCACTCAGGGAGTCCAATGCAGAGGGCTATATTTGCACGGATGACACCGGGCTTGATTTGAAGCCAGAAGCTGTTGCTTCCTGTCCTCAGTAAACTGCTGAGAGTTGGTGAGAATGAGGAGGAAGCGGAGGAAGCAAGCGTCTGTGGGTGGTGGTAGTTGTCGGTTTTGGCAGAAGGACCAGGATTGCTTCCCAGCTGGACTTCATTTTGCTATTCTAAGTCAAGGTAATTAGACATGTTTGAATGTGTCTTCAGGAATCTTTCAGAACATGACGACTGTTTTTATGACTCTTACAGATTACCTATATTTCTAGGAACTTGCCCAAGATCTCTTTTATTTACTTAACTTGTTTCTAGATTTGTATTTTAGCCCTGTGTGCAGTTTTCTAAGTTAAGTAAAGAGTGGGTTGGTGAAAATGAATATTTAAGGTAATGCAGGCATAGGTTCTTATTTCAGGAAAGTTAAAAATCTCCTGGTGAAATAAAAAGTAATGATATATTCCTACATTTAAGATACAATGTGATTGCTTAGAAGAATAGAACAGAGATTTGAGTAACTGCTGGCTGTTCTGCGACCTCCCAATTACTTCAACAGTTCATTTTTGTGTTGGTATCACATCCATTATAATGCTGGTTACTGCATCTGATGCATGGTAGACTCTGGTATCATAAACTACTATGGTTATTATTATCAAAGTGCTGTAAAGTATGATAAAATGGAAGTCTTCTCCCTCTGAATATGAAAATAAGAAAATACTCACAGATTTTGTGAAAGCTATAAATAATCCTTTTCTTCAAATTACCTAACCCTAGAAAGAGTGACTACTATACTCTGCTAGTACTAGAGATAAAGGTGGAAACAACTGCTTGCTTATTCTTTAAAAAAAAAAAAGTGACCTTAACATGACCTGCATTTTTTGTATGCATGAATGGATAATAATTTTCTCGCTGGAAAATACTTGGTGGTTTATTTTTATTATTATAGTATACATTCACAAATAATAGTTCAATAATTTTTGGCCCCAGAGCATTTCTGAACCTCAAAGTTGTTGCTTTCTGACTGGGATATGGCCTGATGATAGAGAAGATGCTAGCATGTGTGAGGCTCCAGGTTTGATCCTTGGCCCTGTAAAAAACAAAACAAAGTTGTTTCTTGTCTACGGTCAAATATTTCTGTAGCACATTTTACAAATCTGTAAAAGGTCATATCAAATTGTGTTCAGATAGGCTCCCTCTAGAGCCTATGGTGGTGGTGCCCCCAGCAGGTCAACCTGCACCCACGGGGTAAGTGCATTAGCAGCCTGATGGTGCCTTCAGGCTTCCTGATACCACCAAATTGCCGCTGTGCCTCTGGCCAGAGCACAACAACTCGAGACCAAGTTTTCTGAGAAATTAAATGGCCAAAACTTAGGTATGTGGGATCCACACCCATAAACCACCTCTGGCTCAGCTATATAAGCTCGTTTTTTGGCCTTGCTTCAGAAACCCATAAATAAATCTCAGAGAGATCAAAAACCACAATTAATCTCTGACCCGCACAAAGCTGAACAGACGGGGGCAAATTGGAGCAGGGTGGATCATCCTGGTGCCCACCCAAGCAGAACCCCTGACAGCTGCTTGCTCCCACAATCCAAAATTGCTGCCATGCTCATTGCTTAACTCCACTGTCTTGGGCCAAACCTCACGGAGATATTAACCTGTTGAAAATTCAGACATGTGGGTTTGTGACTGAAATCTCCAGGCTTTTTCAGAGTTGGGATGGGCTATCTCCCCCCACTTCCTTATATTCCTGGTGGCACTGGCAGTCACCTCCATGAACCAACTCCATCACCACCATGTAAGCTCTTCTACTGGCCTTGCATCAGAGACCCATAAATCTCAAAACAGATCAAAAGCCACAGTTAATTTTGGACCTGAGCAAGTCTGAACAGGCTGGGGTACATCGGAAAGGTGTGGATTAACCTCATGCCTGCCCAAGCAAAGACCCTAGCAACTACTTGTTTCCACAATCCAAAATCGCTGCCACGCCCCAAGCCAGACTCCTGTATTTGGAAAGAACTCGCTGAGATATTCATGGTCACGGTCCTCCCATTGTTCATCGATCTGCTCGAGCGGGCCCAGTAATGTCTCCATTGGAGACTTTGTTGTTACTGTGTTTGGCATATCGAATACATCATGGGTAGCTTGCCACACTCTGCCATGTGGGCAAGATACTCTCGGTAGCTTGCCAGGCTCTCTGAGAGGGGCGGAGGAATCGAACTTGGGTCAGCCATGTTGGCTGCGTGCAAGGCAAACGCCCTACCGCTGTGCTGTCGCTCCAGCCCTGAGCAATATTATCTGTCACTGAGATATTATCTGCTGAGAAAGTGAATATGCGGGTTTTGTGGCTGAAATCTCTAGGTTTTCTCGGGGTCAGGATGGACTACCTCCCCCCACCTCCCTGTACTTCCAGAAACCTCAGCAGTCACGTCCATACCACAAAGCTGCCACCCAGTTAAAAAAGTACTCCAGCATTATCTTCCTGATAAAAACACTGAACTCCCTGAACAAAGACTATGATCTTAGTACCTGCATTGCAAACTATAATGCAAAAAAAGGAAAGAGAGACAAAGAAGAAAAGTGTCTGCTATAAAGGCAGACTAGGGCTGGGGGGAGGGAGTGTTTGGCAGATGATAGGAGGAAAATGAAAGACATCTATTTGTGGTGTGAAAGATACACTGGTGGAGGGATGGGTATTGGATCATTGTATGACTGAAATCCAATCATGAACAGTTTTATAATGGTCTATCTCAAGAATGTTCATTAAAAATTTTTAAAAAATTAATTGTAGGGCTGGGGAAGTTGGGCAGGGCAGCTGACAGCACCATCAATAGCTGAGGGCTACAGAAGATTCTGAGCTGAGATCCAGGGAAAAGAAGATTATTTGTACCTGATGAATTGTCTTCCACCTTATCAGAAAGACTTGCAGTCTTCAGCCTGTATGATCTGCTTGAGATGATACCAGTTATAAGACAGCTCTAGCCTCATGTTGCCTCCACCCTCAGCTTGGCTTGAGCAATAGAACTGGTTATTTAATTAGCCCATCCATGAGACTTCACCGAATGGCCTTTCCATGTTCATTATAGTGTTGAGTATTGCAAGAGCCACTAGGCTGATTGCCTGAAGAGACTGGCTGACTTGCTCACTTGTGGAGGTCTTGCTCCTTCAACCATGTTCTGTGTTTCCTTTTCAGAGGACCCCACAGCCAACAAAGATCCTGGCCAAGAGACAGAGTCTATTCCAGAGTATACAGCAGAAGAGGAGCGGGAAGATAACCGACTGTGGAGGACAGTGGTGATCGGAGAACAAGAGCAGCGGATTGACATGAAGGTCATCGAGCCCTATAGGAGAGTCATTTCTCATGGAGGTAGCCAAGCTCTCTATGGATCAGGGAAGTGGGAATGGGGGCAGCCATATTCATTCTTGTAAATGGAAGAATGAAGCTTGAATTCTTTGTAGCATGACATCCCAAAGACCCTATTTAGACAGTCAGTGTTGGGATCATTGTAGAGCAAAGTGCATTGTCTCCAGTCAGTAAAACTTTGAATCCCTCCCATGCAGAAATAACCCTTTGACCTGAAAGTCACTTTTCCCATCAAAGTGGATGGTATAATCTCCTCTGCAAGTTACTGAAAGCAAGGTAGTCCAGTTGAATAATGCCCATTTGGGATCCACTGTCATTTGGTTGTAGGGTTGAACTGAATAGTTCTGCAGACCACACCACTATGTTCAATATAAAGGCCATTATTCCTGAGGTGCTCTCATTTCCAAAGAGTCTTTTGAATTTTCTATAGAAACGTTAGGAAATATCTGTACCCAGCCTGGTTGGTTTTTCTCTATTTCTCTCTCTAGTCAAAGTTTGCTTTCCTCTAAATCCCCTTATAGCTGTGCCTGATGAAGGCCAATTCCAGCTGAAGTTTCTGCTTGCTTGTTGTGAGTCCAGGGAAAGAGGAACTTTGGGTCTTATATTTTTTGTTCCTTCCTTGGAGCTCTAGGGGCCTTGATTGATATAGGGTCCAAAAAAAGTCAGATGAGCACGAGTAACACATTTTACTTGAAGATGTCAATTTCAAAAAAGCAGCTTTTTCATTCTTCTGCTGCATGTGCTCCTGTTCCCTGTCCTCAGCAAAGCATAAGCTGGCAAGCCAGTCATCATTCTCTGACTTCTCTCTTCCGCAGTGAGGACAGGGAAATAATGAGCATCTCAGTGCTGCATTAAATGTGCAGATTTTGTTTTCTAACAGGCTGTATGACATTTTTCTTTCGCAATCAAACTTCCTGCTCCTTTACCCTATACTTGGTTGCTTAGATATAGATGTCAAGACCATCCGGTTGCCTGTAGGTGCCCTTGGATAAGACCTTCAGTTTTCTTCTTTCCCTCTTTCACCTGAAGTTGTATTATGGCCCCCTTTTGAACTGGGCACAGAAGGCATGTGCTGCCAGAAGCCTGTCTTACGGCTCCTGGGAGAGCCACCTTACCCTGACTGGAAGTGGCAGGCGATTGCCCTCAAGTCAGCCCTTTGGTTACAAGTAAAAAACACAACCTGACCATTGCCCACATCCTCCTAGAAGGCCTGACGTTATTTATACTCTTTTGTCCAAAAATCTGTTATTTTTAGGTTTTATTAATTTTTTTGAATATTAAATGATGCATATGAGGTACAGTTGCAGACTTACAAACTTTTGTGCTTGGGTTTCAATTATACAATAATCAAATACCCATCCCTCCACCAGTGCCCATTTCCCACCACCACGGATCCCAGTATCCCTCCCACCCCCCATTCCCCCCATCCCACCCTGCCTCTGTGGCAGGGCATTCCCATTTGTTCTCTCTTATTGGGTGTTGTAGTTTGCAAAAGAGGCAATGGATGTTTTATTCATTTTTTTAAACCATTTTTTTGGGGGGAAATGAAGACAAAACAAAAGTTGAGAGTAAAAATTACCCATGCCCATTGTACAAAGTACAAATGGTGTAGAAAGGTAAGTCAAAGTTCTCCAATGTAAATGCCTGTATACATTGTTCCCTGGGTCTAAATTTGCTAGTTGTTCTGCAGAGGCAGCTGTTCTGGGTCACCGCTGGTATAAATAGGCCTGATTTTCTTTTTCAGTTGAATCAGTGATTTGCTTTTTTACAATTGTAGTGAAGTTAGGTGAGTGCGGCCCATTGTCACCCAGTGCAGGAACATAGTTTCTTAGCACATGAGGGTCAGAGAAGCCCTATCTGTGTGTCCATTTCTTTGTGAGAACTCAGCTGAGCCACCAGCTCCCTTCCAGCCCCGCCACCTCCTCCTATCACTTTTTGCTCCTCACTGTTCCATGTTCTGAACTTGGTTTATGTTTGCATGAGTATTTGGTTTACTTGGATAAGAAAGAAAACCTTCTCCCCGGTCACCTTTGTCCACGTTCCTTCCTGGTCTCCACCTGGCCCACTTTGCCTCCCTGCATCGACCTTGCCCACTTTCCCTCTCTGCCTCCACCTTGCCCAACCTTTCCCCCAGCCTCCACCTTCCCTTCCTGTGGGCACTGGCCTGCATGAGTGTCAGCCTGGCTGCGCCAACCTGAAACCTTAGTAAGCCACTACTTCTTCCTATTACAAAACAGGTTTTGTGCTCTGTAAACACAGGTCGTTCAGGTAGTTCAATTTGCCAAAGCTTTATCCACTGTGTTGGGAAATTATATTACATTCCTTAGACTGTGGCAGTGGCAAAACTTCACCTTGTAGTAACCAATTTCTGGAGTTATTTATAAGGTGTCTGATGAGCATTTCAAAGCAGCACTCCCTAGCAGGCACAGATCTTGTTTTGTTGTCTTGCACTGGGCCATCAGGAAGTTTCCCATTTGGGCCAACCAGAAAGCACCAGCTGTCTAGTGCTCTGTGCAACATAGTTCTAAGATGGGGTGATTGAGAGAGCTGGATAAGGTGGCAACAGATACAGAAACTGCCAAGTGACTCTCAGTTGGGAAAACCATGCTGGAGAGTAGTATTCTAACAAATATTTTCACCTCTGGTTTTGGTCATCTTAAATAGCTTTATATCATGTCCACCCAGATCCTCCAAATTCCAGTAGGCAGGGGTCACACCCACCACCTGGCCTCTTAGCGCCGTGTAATACCATCAACGGCCAAGACTCAGAGACTATAAAATCCAGCTCCTGGAACCGTGCGGCTGCATTCACGGCCGCGCAACATCTTATCAGAACATCTTTTATGACATCTTATTATCTCATTCCTACTTTGGACAAACTTGCAGGCTTGTAGCCTGCCCACAGGGCAGAGTCTGGCAAACTCCCCGTGGCGTACCAAATATGCCAAATACCAGTAACAATGATGGGTCTCATTCTCCTAAAGAGCCTTGAATATAATCTCAGGGTTAGGATGAAAGAGACGTTACTGGGGCCTGCTCGAGGCAATTGACGAATAACAGGATGATGAAAATGAAATAAAATATCATGTCGAGCAAAAGATTCCAGATCTATTGCCAAGTATGGGGTTAAGCAGTTCGTACCACTATTTCATCTGTAATCTTAGGACCTCCCTGAGCTTCTTTGAGCCTCAATTACTTTAGGAGTCAAAAGAAGGTGGCTTAAAGCCAGCGTCACCTCCTGTACACCAGTGGGCAATATCCCATAAAAATGAGAAAGAGAGGTCCAGGTTGGTTTTGATCCTTCATCTGTGTGGGGTCATTTGGAGGCCGCATCTGGCCTTTCTGTCCTTGGAGCAGATAAGACAATGAAATGACTTGGGCGTGTCATGCCAAAGCATTGTAACAAGGAGTTTCTTTTCTTCTCTCTTTACTTCTCTTATTTCGCTATAGGAGATTCAGGTAACCTTCTCTGCAGTGTTACTGGACAAATGAGCCTGGAGGGAATGAGAAGAGTAGCAGGCTGGTGTGTGTGTGCGTATGTTGTAGTTGTGACTGTGCCATCTTCCCTTCTCTCTCCATTCCATTTGTTGGCCAGCACATTTTTGTTCCGTCCTTTTCATGCCTCTGTTCTGCCTCAGGTAAGGCTTGCGTCATTGTTCCACCGGGTCTTAGAAGCTTCGATGGTTTCTTGGCTTCTGTACCTCAAAAATAAACCCTGAAAGTTGTTCAAGATTGCAGGGAAGAGGGTCTAGTGAAATGTCTTGAAGAAAACGGAACTTTAAAAGAATTAGGCAGCTGCTTATAGGCTACTTTACTTGAATAAGCTACTTACTTAAAATAGAAATTCAGGGTCTGGAGTGGTAGTACAGTGGGTAGGGAGTTTGTCTTACATGTGACCAACTCAGGTTTGATCTCCTGCATCCAAAATGGTTCCCCTGAGCCCACCAGGAATCATTCCTGAGTGCAGAGCTAGGATAACCACTGAGCACCACTGGATGTGGTTCAAAACTCAAAATTAAACAAATGAATAGAAATTGATTTAGCTGGCCCTGTTGATAGCTTATGCAAGAGAGATAAAAAGTAAATGGGCTTCTAATTCTATTTAATTTATTTGGACAGCAATTACTGCCTAAAAATATTTCTAAAATTTGTCAGTAGTGACACCAAGTCTGAAAAAGGAAAATAGACACGAGTGAGGAAAACATTTCCACTTCTTTTCTTTCGTCTCACATCTCCAACCATCCTTTTCCTTTCTCCACCACTTCTTTCCTTCTTGTAATTCCTCTAGGGAGCAGTAAAAAATGTCATCATCGTTTGCAAATCTCCATCGTTTTTATGTAAAGAGGCATCCCTCACTCAGCATGATTAAAACACTGTAAACCACCATGTAATCATTTTTTTTGGTTCCAAGTACTCCTGGACCCAAGGCAACACTATTCCTTTCCAAAGACAGACAGTGTTGACAACAAGAACTGAACTGCCTTTGAACATGACTTTTGAAGAACTCTTTACAAACCTGTTCTCCTTTGTTAAAGGAACAATTCTTAGAAATTAAAAAAAAGATGGCACTTAAGTCATAGTACGGCAAATATGGCCCCTGTCTTACACACAGCTGACTCAGGTTTGATCCTATGCAGGGCCCCCCAGAGGATGATCCTGAGCGCAGAGCCAGGATCAGCCCTGAGTACTGCCAGATGCACCCTCAATTTTTTTGTTAATTAAATGATGACCATCAAAGCCATTGAGCAGTCATGATCTTGAGATTATTCTGACATAGAAAGATGCTTTATAAAGAGGCTTCCATACTTGTTTTTAATTTGGAGTCATTATGTTGTCTCTTTGAACAAATTTGGTCCTGTTTATAATGCTGAGTGTGAATTCCATAGCTTCATGTGCAGTTTCGTGCAGCTCAGCCACTGTGTCCTTTGTGTATTTCCATTTAGTTGCAAAATTTATTAAAGGAAATGGTTTCATGGGGGGAATAGTGCTTCTTGTTTTAAAATTTTCTCCCTCTATTGTTTTCATTCATATTGAATTGCAAAAAGAACTTGGTAAAACCATAATATTGAAAAAGATAACAGTACGGCAAAAAATCTAGATGGGAGATAGCCCAAAAGGGCTTGAATATATCTGGTATGTGTGAGGTTCCAAGTTCGATCTCTAACACAGTATGATCCCCTAAGTCCTGTTCTGGGTGACCCTGGTAGCCCTTAGCACTACTAGCATCCCTAGTATTACTGGGAATGGCCTAGTATTACTGGGAATGTATTACTATTAATAAAAGTAAAGGCCCTCCTGTTGATCAATGGAGACGTTACTGGGCCCACTCGAGCAAAATGATGAACAACGGGAGGACAGTGACAGTTGATCATCGATTTGCTCAAGCAGGCCCAGTAACATCTCCATTGGAGACTTTGTTGTTACTGTGTTTGGCATATCGAATACGTCACGGAGAGCTTGCCAGGCTCTGCCGTGAGGGCGAGATACTCTCGGTAGCTTGCCGGGCTCTCCGAGAGGGGCGGAGGAATCGAACTCGGGTCGGCCATGTTGGCTGCATGCAAGGCAAACGCCTTACCACTGTGCTATCGCTCCAGCCCTTTACTATTAATACATTACTATTATACATTATATTAATACATTACTATTAATACATTCCTAGTATTACTGAGAATGTCCTGTGTGTCCCCTAGAATGCTGGGGAAGACAAGCACAAAGTAATCCAAAGGGGGACTGTTATCCTCTGGAGAAAATATTTGTTGCAATGTGTATATGCACAGATAGGCAACAATAAGGTATACAGCCTAAACAGTATACAATGACGTCAGATGAGTCATTCACACAAGTCCATACTTTGACATATTTTTATTTGGTATCTCATTCTTACCCCCAGCTCTTTTGTGAGAGAATCATATTCTTTGTGTTGGTAGAGGACATCTTACTAAACTGGTTTTCAAGAGTTAAACCCACCCAAATTTATATTCAGCCAGAATGTCTGTACTGTGTAATCACCAGAGGAGTATTTAGAAACCTGAAAGTTTGAAATGCCCTATATCCTGAGAGGGCTGAATCAGGCCTGACAGTGTGGCCCAGTCTTCATAGTCAGTGCTTTGAGGACATCTCTATCCAGTGATTCTAAAGTCCAGAGCTGCGTTGTGTGGCCAACATGGCAAGTGTTTAAAGAGGAATATTAGACATTAAATGCATGTCATTGTTTCCATTTTTCAGTCTGGAAGAGACTTGAGATTTCAAACACCATCCTATAAGGAAAGAATCAGTGCCTGTCTATAATTTCAAAGATAAGCTCTAAAGGAACTTTTTTAAAAGATGGTGAAATGCCATAGTTAGGCTAGAGATTTTGACAGTAGTTACAATGTCCTGAGTGTTAAATTTCTTTTAGTTTTATTTGGCCACACTTGACTGCTTTCTCCCATTTTCTTACCCTTACCTCCAGACGGGATCTCTACCCAACCCCATCCCTCCACCCCCATGTTCATAGGAAGAAATTCTCAATCTTTCCTCAAACCTTATGTTTTATGGAACTCAGAGAGCTTAGTTAGCCTGCCTGGACTTTGTGGTTTTCTTTCAGAGATTAAGTTCTGTGTTTTTGCTGAATTAGTCTAGACCTGCTCAGAACTTTTCATGTATCACTGTAGTGCTTGTTGAGTTTTCCAGCAACATTACCGTTGAGTGCAGCGGTCTTATAAATGAAAACAAAGGTATTTACTTGTCTGTTCTCTACTAATTTGTTTTATAGAATGTGTTTGAGATCTTAGTGTAATCCAATAACTCAATTTCCCCTTCAAATGAACGGAAGTGTAAAGAGTTTGTGATAGTTAAGTAGAATAGCTGTTCCCTTATGGGAAAAAAGTATTGTATAAATTAGCTTTTGTAATTTTAAAATTAGAAGTCCGTAAGTCAACAAAGCGTTGCTCCTCATCCTTAGATATGTAGAATATTTTTGTAACCCATGCACAACTATGTCTAATATAAATAATTGCCCAAAACATATGGATACCTAATACACATATATGTTCACAATTCCATAGAACACGTGTCTTGACCTCTAAAAAATAATTATATGAAAATATTCCTATGGAACTTCAGAAGTTCCCAAACTTAATCTGTCCTACTGCCAAATAATTGTATGGATATATTCTTGCAGCAGTCCAGAGGCTCCCAAACTTATTTGGCCTTCTAACCCCTTTTCAGAAAAAAATTAAAAATGCTCAGTGTCCCCTGAAAGTATACCTTCTTTAAACTAACAAAAGTGCCTCCAGTTGCAAAAGTTCCCCTCAGTGCTACTCCCTCCCTGGAGGATGGTTCCAGAATGCCCTATGTGCTGTGATATTGTCCATGTGAGGGAAAAACAGACTTCATTATACTCTTCTAAACTGATATTTCTTACATTGATGCACTTGCCAAGGCTCCCAGATTCATTCTTTCTGCTAAATATTATCCTGTGAAGAGCTTTCAGTTGTTACAAATGTCTTTTTGTTTGTCCCCCAGGATACTACGGGGATGGTCTAAATGCCATCATTGTGTTTGCTGCCTGTTTTCTGCCAGACAGCAATCGGGCGGATTACCACTATGTCATGGAAAATCTTTTCCTGTGAGTGAGATTTATGACAAAGTGCTTTGAGTTCATGTCTGTGGGCAGGTTGCAGCAGATACAGCATCTTTAATTAAAAAGAAAATCAATGGTATAAAATGGGATAAGTCTTTTATTAAAATAATTTTTAATTAATGAATCACTGTGAGGTACAGGTACAGACTTAAAAACTTTCGTGCTTGCGTTTCAGTCATACAATGATCAAGTACCCATCCCTCCACTAGTGCCCATTCTCCACCACCAATGATCCCAGTATCCCTCCCACCACCCCCACTCATCCCCCTGCCCCATTCTGCCTCTATGGCATGACTTCCCTTTTGCTCCCTCTCTCAAAATGGGGTAAGTCTTGATAAAAGCCGAAGACATTTCTGTCAGACAACATTACTCAATAGACTAAAACCTCCAAAGGAGCTCTTTCATCAGTAGGATGGAAAAAATAAAATAAAACAGAGTTTAACTTGGTTTTTTTTAATTCTGTAACATTTCATTTAGGTGAAGTATTTTTTTTCCCTTATGTTAGTCAGCTGATGGCAACCAAACTTTATTTATATATAGTCTCATTTAATTTGAGTTGTGCTTATTATATGACAACATTACTGCCATTTTAAAAATGAAAGTCAGGTTTATAACTCACCAGTTTTTCCAGTTCATCTATATTCAGAGAGGTAACCATATAAATATACAAAGAATACTCATGCAAAATAATCTTAGGTGACCTCATTCTTCTCAAGGTGAAAAAGCAATATAGATGACCGTTATAAAATAGTAGGCTTTCTTTAATTTAAATGATAAATAATTGTGGTGTAAATCAGTTGAAGTATTTCATGGGAACTGAAAACACTTTCATTCCTTCCTATGATCAGATATGTAATAAGTACTTTAGAGCTGATGGTAGCTGAGGACTATATGATTGTGTATTTGAATGGTGCAACCCCACGACGGAAGATGCCAGGACTGGGCTGGATGAAGAAATGCTACCAGATGATTGACAGACGGTATGCAGGCCCCGCTATTTAATCCCTATTTTTATTTGCCCTGTAACATGTCTACCTAATTCCCTTTTAATCTACCAAAATGCAATTTTGTTTGAGGAACTTTGAATTTGCGCAGGCATGAGATTACAAATTGTGAAAATATTAATGAAAGTATCGCTTTGATATGTAAATTTGAAATGAAGCAAATCCCTGCTCCAGATTTGTTCAGTGATGGAATCTTACCCCTGGCAGACAAGTCTTTCATAATCAATGAAACAATCTTTATACATATGTCTTTGCACAGGAAGATGTCGTTTGAGTAAAGGATCATCATCAGAGTTATCATCATCATCCATCAACCAAAAGATCCATGAATCTTTTCCATTTAATTTATTTCCCTCTTTTCTTCCTGTTGTTGTTGTTGCTGTGATGAGTGGAGATCACACACCCACACTTGGTAGTGGCACTTGCTTGACCACATACATGGTTGTGGTAGGCCCGCAATCAATTACTCTATTGTAACAGAGATCACAAACACCAGTGCTCACTCCCCCCAACCATACTTGTCATGTGGGGTGGTACCAAGGATTGAATTGGTGACTTAAAGCCTGGGGCTCTATCACTGAGCAAATCCTCGGTGATTCTTTACTTGGTATCATGGGAGTTTGCTTCTGTTGGCACCTACTGGAGCTGGCACTATTTGGACAACCACTATGCTCTTATCTCAAAGTTCATTCTCATTTCAAGTCAGACATTAACTCATATGGCCTCTATGTGTGTCCTTTCCTCAAGATACTTTATTTTCATCTGTGGTGGTTTTTTTTTTTTTTTTTAGGGCAAAACTGACCTTGACATGAACAAGAAGGTGTGGTAATAGGCACACTTGCCTAAGTCATCTGCAATAGCTGTTTTGGCACCTTAAGGGTGACTCCTTGCAAAATAATATGAGAGTGCCTTGTTATGCTTGAGCGGGCCCAGTAACGTCTCCATTATGAGACTTGTTGTTACTGTGTTTGGCATATCAAATATGAAAAACGCCCTAGTGCTGTGCTATTGCTCCAGATGCAGAGTCTCTAGCACAGCGGTTGGGCATTTGCCTTGCACGAGGCTGACCTGGCTGACCCAGGTTCGATTCCTCCGCCCCTCTTTGAGAGCCCAGCAAGCTACCGAGAGTATCTTGCCCTCACGGCAAAGCCTGGCAAGCTCCCTGTGATGTATTCAATATGCCAAACACAGTAACAGATCTCACAATAGAGACGTTGCCGGGCCCGTTCGAGCAACTGGATGAACAATGGGAGGACTGGACAGTCTTGTTATACTATTCAAAATATTTTCATTCATCTAAAAAAATTTTTAAAGTTGCTCTGCTATTGCAGGACAAGATGCATGAATATCTAGAGTGTTAAAATGGTCATTGAAGGCCAGACAGTTATGATATTTTTGCACTACTTTGATGAAACAGAAGAAGAAACTAAAGTTCAATAAGATCAAATAAATGGCCCATATTCCTCTTGAGAGTGATTCTGATGGCTGTGGTTACAGCTCAGAGCACTGGAGACTTTGCCTCACTTGTGCAAAGTCCTGAGTTTGATTCCCCAAAAGCTCACATCATGTACCCCACCCCTCCCAGCATTGCATGGTAGCTTGGAGGCCACTGTACCCCTGGGTCCCAAACATCTCTGGGGGTGACTTTGGTTGAGCACCTCTGGATGGGTTCCTTATTTTTTTTAAAAAAAAATGTATTTTCAAAGTACTCTTGGTGATTCTGACAAAAATATAAAGTATCATTAAACAAAAATATGCCATGGGGACTATAGACGTATGAGGCTAACAATCCAACTAGTTTATTTCATCTTTATTTCTATGAAGAAATGAAGTTTGGATCATGAACTTTTCAAATTAGGTCACGAAAAACATTCTTTTAATTAATCAATCATTCTGTGTATTCCCACCAAGGAATCTCACTTGCCTTGAATATGTTTCATGTGCATTTCATTGTATTTGAGCTTATATTTTCTTTTTTAATCCACACTTTAAAATATGTAATGAATAATATTTTTTTTCCTCAAAAAGGTTGCGGAAGAATTTAAAATCATTCATCATTGTTCACCCATCTTGGTTCATCAGAACAATCCTTGCAGTGACACGGCCTTTTATAAGGTATGGTTATTTTGTAGTAAGAAAGTATTACTAGCATTTTGTAAAAATACTCTAGTATTTTAAAGTGCTACTATAATTTTTTTTAATTTTCAAAATTATTGTCCTATAAAGAAAAAATTATAAAATAGTATTTAAGAAAAAATATTTGCTTTTGCCTTTCTTGGAAAAGTATTTTGGACTATCCAGTAGAGACTCTATTTATAAGTATTTTAATAACAAACTTGTCCTTGTTATAAAACATGACCCCTCTGTCCCCTTTTTTGTTGCAAAGGAGAGAAGGTGTGTGTTTGGGCGGGGGGGGGGGGGGGTTCCACCACATCACAAAGGGAAACAAGCAGTCTCTTAAAACAGAAAACAGATAAATGAAAAGATAGGGTAGCCTGACAGTGGAAAACTATGAACAGAATAACAGTGAATAACTATGAACAGAAAAAAGAGCCATTTCTTTGTCTGAATGGTCCCATTTCTTCTGACCAAGCCCCTCTAAATCTCTAATTTGTCTCTGAGTCACCATTCTGAGTACTCTGATTGGTCGCCAGGAGACTTCCTGGCTTCAGTTTTGTTCTATTTGTTGGATATTTTTTATATGTATTTTTGTATTTGCTCGAGCGTATACTTGCTGTGCAAGTTTATATTTTGAAAATGTAAAGAAAAGTAAGATTTGCCTCATGATTTAGTAGAAGTTTAAAGAAAAGTACAATGGGAGTTGAAACAGTCAAATATGAGACAGCACACTTTTTTCTAGAAAGACTTCAAACAGTAATAGTCTTGGCTTATATCAGGATACAGAATAGATAAATTAACAGGTTTTTTGTCATAAAGTTACCAATAGATTCATAAGAAATATTCTGATAATTTTGCGTCTGAGAAAAGTAGGGGTTGTAATCCTTTACTTTTATTATTGTGCCTTCTGGATTCTTTATTTTGTTGTCCCATGCTCATATTTGGAGCTGGAGCAATAGCACAGCAGATAGGGCGTCTGCCTTGCACGTGGATGACCCAGGTTCGATTCCTCCGTCCCTCTCGGAGAGCCCAGCAAGCTACCGAGAGTATCTCACCCTCACGGCAAAGCCTAGCAAGCTACCCATGACGTATTCGATATGCCAAAAACAGTAAGAAAAGTCTCACAATTTGTTGTGAGGCGTTACTGGTGCCCGCACAAGCAAATCAATGAACAACGGGAGAACAGTGCTACAGTGCTCATATTTATTTAGTATTCCGTTCTCCACTTCCAACAACTGAATAACAGGGTTCAATTTAATTTTCCACTGGCAAAGCATAGTTTTTTGCTATAATGTGCTAAATTTCTTTTTCAAATGTTATGGAATATTTTTATAATATTAGAGAATATTTTGATGAAGTAGGGATCTTATATGCTCTGATGAACTCATAAAAGTTTAATGAGAAAAACATCAACTTTACGATTATAAAGCTCTATAATTATGAAATTATAACCATTTATTCATCATGATAAAATATTACTATGAAATATTGAAAATAATTATAATGTAATATTATTTATTAAATGGTTTCTCAAGAAAAAGCAAATACAATGATAGAGTCACAGCAAATAGTGTATGGTAAATCACTTATAATAGCTTGCATTCATTGAGTGCTTACATGTGTTATTTTATTTAACCCTAATGACGCACCTCTGAAGGAAATGTTTATTACATCTAGAATATGGAAAATGATTTTGCGCTTTTATAAGGTCAAATCAATTGTTTAAAGCAGAAACCAGAAAATCCTTTAAACAAGGACAAAATAGAGACTATTTTAGATAACATAGGTCATTTTGTCTCAGCCTTACCCGTTCAGCTTTGCTGAAAGTAACAGGAGTCATAGACAATGTGCAAACAAGTAAGTGTGATTGTGTTGCAGTCAAATCTTCTCACTGCACAATGAAATTGAATCTCCTAAAACTTCTTATAGACTGAAAAGTAGTCTTGTTTTAATATTTTTGCAGCTATTTAAGAAAAGCGTGAAAACTATTCTTTAACCATGGGACTGCAAATAAATCCACTAGTTGCCTTTGACCTTTAGGCAGTTGTTTGCCAATTCCAGGTCTAAGGTGACATAAATGATAGACTTAGGCACATGCCTAATTCTTTTTTTTTAATTTTTATTAGTGAAACACCATGAGGTACAGTTGTAGACGTACAAATTTTTGTGCTTGGGTTTTGAATATACAATGATTGAGTACCCATCCCTCCATCAGTGCCCATTCTCCACCTCCAGTGCTCCCAGTATCCCTCCCACCTCCCCATCCCACCCCATCCCTGTGGCAGGGCATTCCCTTTTGTTCTCTCTCTCCTTTTGTGTGTTGTGGTTTGCAAAAGAGGCATTGAGTAGCAATCCTGTTCAGTCTATAGTCCACTTTCAGTATGCATCTCTCATCCTGGGAGGATCCCCCCAACACCCTTTATTTGGTGCTCACACATGCCTAATTCTAAATAACACATATACATATTTAAACATTTAAACATATTGATGGCTTCATCAGACGCTCTTTTAAGATCTTTCAGGCACCAATTAACATCAGCATTCCTAATTTTTAGACGGGAGCAAAAAGGTCACTAAGGTACCAAATAAGTCTTTTTGCCATAAAGGATAACAGCTCTTTGAGAGGAATGTAGTAAACTCATTTTCATTTTAATGAATCTTTCTTCTGTGCCAGGTACTAGGGTAAGTGTCCCTACTAGTCCCTACTAGTCCCTACTAGGGTAAGTAGGGACTGTGAAATTGAATGGCTCCATTGCAGTCCTCAAGGAGTCACATGCAGATGTAAGCAGGCAAGGAAACGGTTACAACGCAGGATAGGAATGAAGTGGTGAAGCAGATGGCGATTAAGCGAAGTTGAGGATGAGGTTGGGGGTGATGGAGCACAAAGGCTGAGAATCGGGGCTGGAGTGATAGCAGATCGGGTAGGGCGTTTGCCTTGCACATGGTGGACCCAGGCTCAATTCCTGGCATCCCATATGGTCCCCTGAGCACCGCCAGGTGTAATTCCTGAGTGCAGAGCCAGGAGTGACCCCTGTGAATCGCCGGTGTGACCCAAAAAGCAAAAACCAAACCAAAACAAAACAAAACAAAAAACAAAGGCTGAGAATCTATCTCAGTAAGAATTCTTGGAAGATTGAGCCTCTGAGGTGAGCTTTGAAGAATAGGATTGGCTAATTAAAAGCTAACAGAAGGAAGAAAGAGTAGGTACAGATATATCAAGAAGGGGAGAACACAGAATAATTAGAGACCTCTAGTAGGAGGTTAGAGACCTTTAACTAGAGGCCTCTACCTAGAAGTTTAATGCAGGTACTGGAGCTCTTACCTTTCAGAGACTTCTTCCTTCTTTTGTTTCACCCACTCCATCCTTTACTAAAGCTTAAGTTTAAATCAAACACACCAAAGGAAGGAAGAGGCCTGATGCTACGTATTGCTGGTTGTGTATGTTCCTCCAGAATTATCAGGAGGTTGGAATGACAGTTGAATGACTGAGCACATGTTTTGCATTCAGGATGTCTGGTTGAGTTTGACATCTGGCTCTGCATGGTCCCCCAACACTGCTCAGAGTGACTCCTGAGCACAGAGGTTGGTACAGCCCCCTGAGGACACAATCTGATATCACAAACATCAAGTAACAATGTTAATTGGGGCCAGAGCAATGATACAGCAGATAAGGAGCTTATCTGCATGCAGCTGCCCTGGGTTCAATCCCTGGCACCCCATATGACCATCCCCTGAGCCCCACCAGGAGTTATTCTTAGGCATAGAGCCAGGAGTAAGCCTGCCCCGAGGACAGCCAGGCGCTCCCTGAATCAAAAACAAAACAAAACAAAAGTTTGTTAAGGAACATCAGGAGCGATTGAAGAGGCTATATGAAGAGGAATTTTGTTCGTAATTCATAGCCACTGACTGCCAAGTACAGTGTGAAGGACAGATGTATAGAGGGCTGGCCTTGAAGACATGTCCAACTAGGATGCACAGTTAATTGGAATAGAAATTAATACAGCTCGTAGAGAAATAGCTCGACGTTACAGTAACAAATTTATTTTGATGATTAATCAATTTATCTTTCAAGTGGAGTGGTTTATTTTAAATATTTAGTTGGGACCAGAGAGATAGCACAGGGATAAGGCACTTGCTTTGCACATGGCTATCCCAATCCCCAACACCCCATATGGTCCCCTGAGCCTTCCAGCTATGATCCCCCAAAACAGAACCAAAAATAAGTCCTGAGCACCCTAGGGGTGTCCCATTCCCACTCCTTAATTAATACATAAATATTTATCTTTGCATTTATACCAGTAATAAAAGTTTGATGCATTCTTATAAAGTGCTCATTCATTCTAAGTAAAATTAAGTTTCTTTTCAGCAACTATGAATTCCTGTTCCTAACCCCCATTCTCCAATGGGAAATTCCCTTCTCAGTTACAATGGTATTCTTCAAAGTTGTTTCTGATGCATTTATACTCAATGTGAAATGTTTACATTTACAAGAATGCCATTTGTAGGGGCTGGAGCAATAGCACAGTGGGTAGGGCGTTTGCCTTGCACGCGGCTGACTCGGGTTCGATTCCCAGCATCCCATATGGTCCCCTGAGCACCGCCAGGGGTAATTCCTGAGCATAGAGCCAGGAGTAACCCCTGTGCATTGCCAGATGTGACCCAAAAAGAAAAAAAAAAGAATGCCATTTGTAATTCAAGTCCAATTACTAAAACAATTTTTTTGAGCATTTGTCTATCTGGAATTAACCCTCAAACTGAAACAAACACACAAACAAATAAAACCTCAAAAGATGACTTAAAATAAAACAAAGAAAAAAAATGAGTTTGAACATATTTTAAACATATATTAAAAATTTTAAAAATTAAAAAAACATATATCAATCTTGGCATATTGCTAAAATTGTGGTGAGATTTATCTGTTAAAATAAAATTAGCAAAAAAAAAACCAGATGATTCAGAAGACAGAACTATTCAGAGTGATCGGGATCACAGGTGTGACATGAGGGCCAGGGTGTGATCCCTGAAACTGATGACTAGCTGGCATCACATAAAAGAAAAAAGAGACTTTTTTGGGTATCTGTAGTATGACACGTAGTACACAGAAAACCAAAAAATACTGAGCGAAGATGTATTTATAAGGAAAATAGAGAAATTGAGAGTTTCCAGGATAAGTCATGAAAAGACAGAAACAAGTATGGGGGGGGGGATAGAAATATGAAAGAAATAGGAGAGATATGAGAAAAGCAAAACAATGGCAGTGAGTAAGCTGTATATCGTATCAGTAGTTACTGTAAATTTAAATGATCTGAACTCACTCATCTAAAGACACAGAGTGACTGGTTAGGTGGGTAAACAAAGAAGCAAAAATAAAACAGAATAAACAGGATCCATTTAAACAAGGCTCCCAAACTTGTTTGGTCTACTGAACCCTTTGCAGAAAAAGAAGTCACTCAGCATCCACTCCCCCTGCAGTATGGGCCATTTTGGAAAACACTGATTTCTATTGTGTGTACAAAAGAGTCTCTCATAAGATTTAAGGACAATCTTTTAGTTTAGACTGAAAAGCTGGAGCATAGTGACCCAGATAACAAAACAAAGAATACGGAGGAATTGCTATTTCACATAACTGATAAAACGGACTTTCAACTAAAAGTTAATAGAAAACAAAAATAGGTATTATATATTGGTCAAGAGATCAATTGGAAATGGTGCCTTTGGGGACAAAATGAATCTAACTTGAGGCAACCATCCTAAAGGCAAAAAGAAAGTAAAAGATAATCGTCGAATGATTTCACTCATACTTGGAATATGAGTTACTGAAGCCAATGAACTTAGAAATAACAAAACTATGCCTGGACTCAGTGGAAGCTATAGGGGTCACTGACGGGAAAGGAGACTGATGAGGTAAACAAGCAGAGAGGTCTTCTAGGTGGAATGTTACTGGGACTTTGATGGCTGAAACAGGACAGTTTACAACACCCAGTTTATATATTATGAATCCATGATTAGTCAATGAAAACTATAATTTAAAATAAATAAGTCTCTTTCTACTCTCTGCTGAAAAGACCTCTAGAGTGTACCACACCTTGCTTTCTTTTATTAGCAAAATTTCTGTACCTAAAACATAAACAAAAAATATAAAATTTTAATTAACCTTGAACAATAGAGTAATACTATCTTCTATGTGCCATAAAATTACTATTTTTTTTAACGAGTATATTCAAAAGTTGCCTAGATTTAAATCAGGGCTCTTCAGCTTACTGACAGTGAGACATTGGACAAATACTAACTCTCTATGTGTCTAGAAGAGGAAGGAAGGGAGAAAAAGAGGGAGGGAGAGAGGGAGGGATAGAAGGCAGGCAGGCAGGCAGCAAGGAAGGCAGGAAGGCAGGAAGGCAGGCAGGCAGGAAGGAAGGAGGGAAGGAAGGAAGGAAGGAAGGAAGGGAGGGAGGGAGGGAGGGAGGGAGGGAGGGAGGGAAGGAGGGAGGAAGGGAGGGAGGAAGAGAGGATTGAAAGGACAGAACAGGGGTTAAGGCATTTACCTTATCTGGGGCTGGAGAGATAGCAGAGCAGCCTTGCATGCAGCCGACCCAGCATCCCATATGGTCCCCTGAGTTCGATTCCCAGCATCCCATATGGTCCCCTGAGTTCGATTCCCAGCATCCCATATGGTCCCCTGAGCACTGCCAGGAGTGATTTCTGAGTGCAGAGCCAGGAGTAACCCCTGTGCATCGCCGGGTGTCACCCAAAAAGAAAAAAAAAGGCATTTACCTTATCTGTAATCCATGTGGGTTTGAGCCAACCACCAGGAGGGATTCCTGAGTGCAAAGTTAGGAGTAAACCTTAGACACAGCTGGGTATGGTATCTCTCTCCCAAAATAAAAGCATACTAATAGTGCCAACCTCAGTAGGTTATAATAATAAATGACTGAGCAAATATATATATTATATAATATATATTACTTATATACACTTATAAGTAGTATATATGTATATTACTTAAACAGAGTATGGCACATACTAGTTCCTTGAATTATGTGTCTTTCTTCTTGGTAATATTCTGAACAAGGTGTTAATTGCATGAGATTTTGCAGCATGAGGCAACTACTTTAGAAGGGCAGTATAATTTTTTCTTTTCTTGTATTTCAGTTCAAAATTCAGCAGTAAGATTAAATATGTCAGTAGCTTGTCGGAACTCAGTGGACTGATCCCAATGGATTGCATCCATATTCCCGAGAGCATCATCAAGTAAGTTCTGATGATTCTGAAGATTTGGTAAGAAAACTGCATGTCTATAGTTACGCAATCAAAAGAAGAAGTCAGAAATGTTGTAGGTCTTGAGAAGGAGATTGAAAAAAGAACTCATTTCTGGAATAGAAATAAAGAGAAATATAGTATTTTATATACAGAACAAATACTAAATATTCTCCAATAGGTACTAAATACTAAATTTTCTCCTATATACAGATACCATTCTTTCATATTTTTTTCAAGTAATCTCTTGGAATCACTGATTATTACTCATTTTTACCATAAGTTCTTACCACCATTTGAGAGCAAACTAATTTAACATTTACCAGCCCATCTATTTCTGTGTCTTCCACTCCATCCTGACTTGGTAGGGTGTCTTTGTCATTTCTAGAGTAGTTTATATGTAAGAGCCTCAGAAAAGAGGAAGCAATGCTTGTTCTCTGTTTTCTTATGAATCCTTCTTCACAAACAAAGGATTTCTTTTAAGTTATTCATTTGGGTGAAAGGGGCAGAGGGCTGTTGCCCAACATGGGTGTGTGGTGAAGAAAAGATTCCTCACTCTGTCAAGCTGCAGAGCTAGGCCCCGGGACTGAAGTCTCAAGAAATGTTGTGAAAATAAAAGTCAAGTTAACTAAGGGACTTGGAGCTGTACTTTCAAACAAGATACTGGAGAATGAACCCTCCTGTGTTGTTTATTTTCTCTGAGAACCATTGTGATTGGATCTGGATTTTCTTTCATGATGTCTGAAGCCTTGGTTTTATATTTAGATTAGAAAGGATTAGACCATTATCTCAAACACACACACACACACACACACACACACACACACACACACAAAGAAGAACCAAAAACCAAACAAAGATAACTGCTCTCCAAACATGGTATATAGTATGAACCTCCCATGTGGGCTTCTGGAAAAAAAAGAAGTCGCCTGATTTTAAAAAAAGAAGAAAAAAGTCACAAAACCTGGAAGAAAAGTAGTGTCATTTAGTGTGCCTCTGCTGAGCCAGACTTCAAAGTGCTGTGTTTATAGCTTGTATTTTTCCACAGTAAAAAAGATCACTTAGTTAAGAGATGTTATATGTGCAAAATATAAATAGCGACCATGAAGAGATAGCACTATAACTCCAATCAGGTCAGCCAGCACTAATTTCTCTTTCTTTTTATCCTTAAATTCCTTTGCTTCCTTTAAAGTATCCATTGAAAGTTACACTTTCCAGGCCTTTGGTTTTCCTATCACAGTTATCAGGCCTGGACTCAGAATACTGATTGGGCTTCTCGTGACCCTTGTTGGCTCTGCTGGAGAATGCAGTGTTCACCAGACCAGAAAAGTGACTTTTATTCTTCTGAGCTTCAGAGTAGCTGGCACACCTCTTAACTCTTGCCTGGAGCATGGGCCTTAAGCCCACTTTCGGGAAGGGAAGGGAAGGGAAGGGAAGGGAAGGGAAGGGAAGGGAAGGGAAGGGAAGGGAAGGGAAGGGAAGGGAAGGGAAGGGAAGGGAAGGGAAGGGAAGGGAAGGGAAGGGAAGGGAAGGGAAGGGAAGGGAAGGGAAGGGAAGGGAAGGGAAGGGAAGGGAAGGGAAGGGAAGGGAAGGGAAGGGAAGGGAAGGGAAGGGAAGGGAAGGGAAGGGAAGGGAAGGGAAGGCATCCTATCTATCATGCTGTCTCCCTTCACAAAATATGACCAGAACATCTCTATTTGGGTTTCTTTCATCTCCCTTCAAATATCTTCAAGGAAATGAACATTAGGCACTTTCCAGGTGAATATGCTAAGATATCTGGGCCTTAGTAGTATGTAGCTCTATGTAGTTTGCTTAATTGGTTGTAGCTGTTGAAGGCAATATAGGATGAAGAGAATGAAGAGGCTTTGGAAACCTTCATGAGCTCTTACTCTGTTCACTGGACCCTAATGTCTGAGACTTCGGACAGCTTGATAAAACACCGAGTGCCGGCTTCGGTGTAGGTCAGATGAGGAATGAGGACAAAGCCTCCAGGAACCCTCCTGTCACAGAGCTCATAATTTGGGGTGCTGCCTGTCACAGTCGTGTGCCTATTGAGCTGAGTGAGAAATGAACCACGTCCAAGGCCCTCTTCATTCGTTCATATGCAGTGTTCCCTGGTTCCTTCCAGAAAATGGATTCCACTGGGAAAGCGTCACCTCTAAAGGGAGCAGCGTGCCACCAGGCGTGTTCTTTTCATGTGCTCATTTTTCTTCCGGTCATTTACAGTCCATGTCCCTGGTGTTCTCTCATGTCTATTACTGGCCCTCATTGCATCATCTTCATGTTAAACGTTTTCAAACTGTTACAAACCACAGCTTCTTCCAACCAGCGACATGACATTCGACCTCATATTAGCCAACCCCCAAACCCTTATTCTGCTGGGACAGAGACATCAGCAGAGGTGAGGGGTGGGGAGCGTTCATCCTGCAGGCCCGTTTCCATTTCTCTCTTCCTGAGCAATTGTGGAGGCTGGTGTTGATGCATTATTGGGATAGATGAGTATGCTTCTTGTCATCTGCCCTATCCTATCTGCTCGCTGCATATGGTTCATGAATGATGTTAAAAATAGTCAGCTGGCCCTGAGCAGAAAAAAAGATCCTCCCACCCTCCAGTTTAAATTAAGGAGAATTTTCGCTATTCAACAATCAGCTTTAAACCATGGATTACAATTGGTTCTAGTTATTTGTAACGTATATATTATAGTCTGAACAACAAATGCTAAACAGTTGTTCCTAGGTAAAAGATAGGGATGAAACATTTTGTCAACTGGTGAACATATAATGGGACTTTTTGTGCGATCCTATTTACAAACACTTTATTTCATACTTATTTGATTTGTTGGCATTAAACTCATGGCTGGAAGCACTGTAATTTGTTCCTATTGAAAGTTTATCTACCCACATATGTTCTCTGTAAGCACTCCCTTCTCTCTCTGTCTCCCTTCTGGGAACATGGGATATGACTTTAGCATTGTGGAACCATTTGAAACAGTGAAATTACCAGCTAAAGCACAAAATTAAAAGAGCAGGTCACCAAGAGGAGGCAAGAGGACACTTGTTTTCAATGTGAGAGCTGAAATGAACGGGCAGAACCTCCTCTGGGCATGTGTGCCACTGACTCAGATCTGTTGTCATTCTGAATAACCTTCAGTGGCCATGAAAGTGCTGGAGGTATTGATTTGGGAGTTGTGGATAAAGTTAAATGAGCAAAGTGAGTTTGTAAGCACACAATCCGCAAACAATCAGGTTTAGCTGTAGATGATACATACAGAAGCATTGATTTTTCTTTCATAAAGTTAAGATTTCTGGGCTTGAGTTTCAGTGGTGCAGCACTTAATTGCCTTGCATGTGTGAGGCCCTAGGTTCAGTCCCAAGAAAGAAAGATAGAGAGAGAAAGAGAGAAGGAGAAAGGAAGGAAGGAGAGAGGGAGGGAGGGAGAAAGGTGAGAGGAGAAAAGAGAAGAGGAAGGGAGAGGGGAAGGCTGGGAAGAGGTGAGGGAAGGAGGGGACAGGAAATGAGGCGGTGGAGAGGAGGGGAGGGGAGAGAAGAAGGGAGGGGAGAGAGGAGGAGAAGTAGAGGAGAGGAAGAGAATTTAATTGAATAATGACTTAATAGTCTTTCTCATTCATGTTTTAACCAATCAGTAAACATTTACCTGTCATTTTCCCCATGTTTTTCATTTTCCTCTCCTCATTCATTTCTTATTTCGTAAGGTACGATGAAGAGAAATCTTTTAAGAGACACGTGAGGTAAAAATCTCCTGAGCTGCACTTCAGATCAACCCCCTGTTTGTGTACCCCACTCTTTCCCTCGTGGGTCACCTCAACATGCTGCTGGTCCCTTTTCACATACCAGTCCAGTTTTTGTCCTGTGTGTAAAGCTGTTGAGGTCAGCCTACTTTGCAACTGGACCCTTGGCAACTAGATTTAACCCTGACTTGGCCCAGGCTGCGAGCTAACTTTAACTGTGTCCAGCGGGAGGTAGAGGTTTTAGCTTTATCCAGCCAGCACGTTTCCTCCCTCCTTGCTACCTTGATATCTATCTTTACGAAGGAATTTTCCAAGGTAACATACCTAAAAACTGAATGGGAGCTCTTGATGCCATGTTAATTGAAGAGTGAGCCTCGGTTCTCCAGAGGACGGTTTTGAGAACATAGACCCAATTACGTTTGGCTCTGCTTTGCTGGATGATTCTCTCACGCTCTGCTTGCTTCTTTTTTGTTGTTTGTTTGTTTGTTTCTTTTGTTTGTTTCTTTTCTACACCAATAATTTTTGCTCGTGCAGACTGGATGAAGAACTGAGGGAAGCATCAGAAGCAGCTAATAAGTAAGACCTGGTTTTCTTTCAGCAGCTGGTGTGTGATGTTAGCTTGCCTATCAGGAATGAATTGGAAAACCTGCATGCCTGGTATTTTATTCTTGCATTTTGATGACAGTGCTGCACTTTAAAATTTCCGTTTGCCTAGTGATGTCTAGTTTGATAGTACCACAATCTGTTTCCCCTAGGATCTTGGCTATCTCAAGGAATTGCTCTTTGATTAATATCTGTAATTTACATGCAGTTTTAGCAGAACACATCACAGTACATCCACAAATAACAACTAACTAATCACTAGACACATGAGGAGAGAAACCTCTTACTGCTTTTCAAACGGGAGAAATGATACTTAGGTTGAAATTTGGGATTTGGAAAGTTTGGGGGAAACAATTTCAAGATAAAAAAAATGTCTTGTTTAATGGTTTGAAAATAATGATATAATGGTTTCTGAATTATTTGGACAAATATAAAAAAAACTTTACTGCTCACTATTTGCAATCTCCCAATGGCAAAATTATGAGATAAACATATATTAATGTTTCTGTTCAAATAATTATTTTATGAGGGAACCAGTAGGTTGTTTTTAAAAAATCTAAGAACATTTGGGAAACTAATTACTTGTAGGCAATTTAAAAGAAATTTTAGAATAGGACAGTTAATTTAACTAGAAAATGGATTAATATTAGAGTAGTAAATGATAGCCTTACTGGTAATTTTTCTACTGGACAAAAATTATTTACATCTCTGACAAGAATCTACAAATCTGCCCCTAATCAGCTGTAAAATTGCCCTGTAGTAGAAAGTTAATTCGGCACTAGTTTCAAAGGGCATCCACTAATTTTCTTTTCCTTTTTTTCACTTTTTATTTGTTTTGTTTTGATTTTTTGGGGGACCACACCTGCTGTGCTCAGAGCTTATTCTTGGATCAGTGCCCAGGGACTAGTCCTGGCAGTGTTCAGTACTAACATTACATGCATGTAGACGTTAAATTTGAAACTGTCAAGGAAGAATTTTGCCCTCGTGTAAAATTACTCAGATGATTGAAATGCTCGTGTAGCCTGCCTTTTCGCCATACCAGCTCTATCTTATCACCTATCTTGCAGCAGCCTCAGAATGAACTCCCTAAATTTAACAGACTTTAAATTATGCCTTTTCAGTTTAGACAACATGATCTCTACAGATAGATCTCTGGTTAGATTCTCAAAGCCAATGAATGAAGATGTTCTGGTTCTCTTTTAACTGATGCTCCCTGATGTCATGTGACCTTTGTTAGAAATCTTTGCCCTAGTCCCAACTGAAGGCAAATATACACCTTTTAGGGTACAAAACCTATCTGATTTTTATTTTCTTTATTTCCAGTTATTTTATTTTCGGTATGCACCTTCTCCCCCTGTCCACTACTTCTAATTGACTTCCTGAAGGTGATTTTAGCATGCTTTAGGTCTATGTTGGAAAGAAAATACTTTCAACAGATAAAGTGTATAGAAAACCTATTCTTTTTATTTTTTTAAGTAGGAGTACTGTTATTTATTCAGTCATTGATTAGGCTGATTAAATTGGGCATGAGCTCCACCTTTACTTTTTTTTTCTTTCTTTTTTTTTTTTTTATAAATTTATTTATTGAATCACCATGAGAGCAGTTACAAAGCTTTCGGGTTTAAATCTAATTCATACAATGATGAAAGACCCGTCTCTTCACCAGTGACCATTTTCCACCACCAAAAACCCAAGTATACCCCTGTCCCACACTCTCCCCCTACCAGTGGGGCAGATGATTTCCACATTGCTCTCTCTCTACTTTGATTACATTCAATATTTCAACACCAGACCTACCATTATTATTTGGGATTTTGCCCCAGCACTCAGATCTGCCAAAAATGCAACCACAGACAATTTGTTTTCTATTGCTGGTTATGAATAACATATGATGTCGTGCAGCTGTGGTAGTGGCCACACGATTTTGGAATTCCAAAATTTAAACAATTAAATCTGGAGGGATTTCTGCCAAAAACTGCTGGGTTCCGAGATTTGTTCCTGAGTCTCTGGGATCATGGCCATTAAACAGCTTGATCAGGAGCCAGAGAGGCCATTCATGGGTGGCAACCCAGGGTCTCGTTGGGCCAGGGAGGAAAGGGCCGGCTCCACCCCCATCCTGTGAGGCCCCATGTGTCTCGTCACTGCTGGCCCAAACCTGATTGTCCAATGGTCTCTGGAGGATGGTGGCCAACGAGCCTCCAAGGGGGAGCAGGCGGAAAGACAGCACCCTTTCCCCCTTTGGGTGGCCCAGCACCGGTAACCTACTGCGGGGACCGGATGAATTTCAGCCTAAAAGCCTCTGAGTTCCGAGATTTGTTTCTGAGTATCTTGGATCATGGCTGTTAAGCAGCTTGACCAAGAGCCAGAGAGGCTGTTCATGGGTGGCGACTTGAGGTCTCATTGGCGTAGGGAGGAAAGGGCTGATTCCACCCCCATCCCATGAGGCACCGCATGTCTCATCACTGCAGGCCCAATCCTGACTGTCCAGTGGCCTCTGGAGAATAACGGCCCCCAAGCTGCCAGGGTGAACAGGCCCAGGCACGAAAACTATTCCCCCCTGGGGTGGCCCAGCACTGGTAACCTACTGCTGGGACCAGACGCATTTTGGCCAAAAGGCGCTGCGTTCCGAGATTTGTTTCTGAGTCTCTGGGATCATGGCCATTAAGCAGTTTGATCAGGAACCAGAGAGGCCATGCCTCCAATTATATAGCTGAGCCGGAGGTGGTTTGTGGGTGTGTCTCCCACATACCTAACTTTTGGCCGTTTAGTTTCTTGGTAAACTTGACCCCAAGTTGTTGGGGTCTGGCCAAAGGCACAGCAGCAATTTTGGGTTATCTAGAAGTCTAAAGGCACCATCAGGTTGCTGATGCACTTGCCTCACAGGTTCAGACTGACCTGCTGGTGGCACCATACCCAAGTAGAAAACCTGTTGTGATTTGGAAGTAGTGAAGAATCTGTCTGTGGCTCTGGAACTTAAAGTATTTTGGGGGTGGGGGTGGTGACACCCAGCAATACACAGGGGTTACTCCTGTCTCTGCAATCCGGAATGACCCCTGGCGGTGCTTGGGGGACCATATGGGATGCTGGGAATCGAACCTGGATGGGCCACGTGCAAGGCAAGCGCTGTACCTACTGTGCTATCACTCCAGACCCAGGGACTTACATATTAAATGAAATGTAATTTGCTGTTTTCTTTGGAAGAAGAATTGCACAAAGTTATGAAACAATAGAAGGACTTTTGGAAAACTGCCCTTTCTTAATTTTATTTTGACTTCTTGCTTTTTCTAGCGCCCTGTCTGCATTCACCTGACTGTCTTTGTTTGCTAGGATGGCTAGATATCAAAGACAGAGGCAGAGAGACAAAGACAGAGAGAGAGAGAGAGAGAGAGAGAGAGAGAGAGAGAGAGAGAGAGAGAGAGAGAGTGCATGCACCAGAGGGAGAGTTAGGGAAAGAGGAAAGCAAAAGCCTTATTCATGGTCCTTCCCAGGAAGATACCTTCTGCCATTTTGAACAAATACCCTGGTAAAGGTTAAGAACCAAACATCTTAATTGCTAACGGACAAATGCATTAGCTTGTGAAGTTATTCACTTTACAAAGTGAAGCCCCGTATTTAAAAAAGGCTCTTAGTGGGCTCCAGAGATTGGTGGTGGGAATTGTGCACTTGTGGAGGGATGGGTGTTTGATCATTGTGTGATTGTAACTCAAACATGAAAGCATGTAACTATATCATGGTGATTCGATAAATTTTTTTAAAAGAGAGAGAGATAGAGAGAGAGAGAGAGAGAGTACAAGCAAGTAAGGTGTTTGCCTTGCACACAGCTGACCCAAGTTCCATCTCCAGCACCCCATAAGGGCTCCCTGATCCTGTCAGAAGTGATTTCTGAGCAAAAGCTAGGGGCGTAGCTTGATGTGGCCCCCAAACAAACAAATTTAAAAAGTGAAAAAAAGTCATTAAAAAGTCTCATAGAATCTTTTTTAAATAATATTGGCTTACCAATAGTCAAATATTTATCAAGGGTGATGGGCATTAAAAATTTTAGTTTGATAAATCTTAATCAGAAATCAGTATAAAGAATACTTGAAGTTTGTTAATAGAGGAATCTTAACAATAAAGAACATCAAAACTGATAGAGGAATCCTATCAATATAGAATGTAATATTACACTATACCACAACACTTGTAGACCATAATAAAATTGCTATGTTATTATTTTCTATGTTTATTTTTTTTCTGGAGTCATATACAGTTTAAGTTAATGTTAGGACACCAAATTTCAGCTTTATGCTAGTAAATGTCCTATTGCTTTTCTGTAACAATAAGAAGGTAGCTTGACACTGGTACTTTCCCTTTCAGTGTCTAAGAAAACTTCTCATTCTTGTGAAAACTGAAACTTAACTGTGTTCATATCTAAATAAAATTAGACTGGTTAGTGGTATTGTCCTTGATGCTTAATGTATCATATTATTCAGGTTACAAATAAAAATCACAATATTAGTCTCTGAATAAGATAGAATAATGAAAGGAACAAAATAAACCACTGGAGTATTTGAAGTTTTCATTCTTTCATTTTGGGTAGTAACTATCTTGGGTGGTAACTATCTTTCAACACTGATAGTAACACTTAATCTCTTCATCTGTTCGGGTATAGATGTGTTTGTCTTAGCAATAAAACCACCTTAAATATCTTTCAGTGGTCAAGTTTATTGTGCTTATGGAGTTGTACTTGCAGTGAAAGGAATGTTTACGGCTTCCATTTTTTTTTTTTTCAATCTTTGCACTCAGAACTAGCTGCCTTTACAATGATCCAGAAATGTCTTCAATGGAAAAGGAGTAAGAATGCATGATCAATAATAGTTTTGTGGTTACTTGTACTATTGTAGATTTGGGATATAAAAAATGTGTTAAGGATTGGGTAAGCCTTGTTCAGATGTTCAGCTCTCAGTACAACATTTGGAACTTGAAGAGGGATGTTCCAGCATAACACTGTCTCTCATAATCACTGTTCAGTTAAGGACAAACCTACTCTTTACTTGGCAGTCTATGTTTTCAATCCAAAACAGAGGAAAGAATAAGTGTTAGAGCTGGAGAGAAGAATATTTGCACAGAAAAAGCACAACTCTGCGTTTTGCATTATATAATTATAAAATTATAAAATTAGTGGAAATTAGGACTTTCATTTGAACTTTATATTTTAGTTGATGGGGATGGAAATGATCTCATTCTGAAAATTCTAAGAGATATTTATATTATCAGGGGTAATTAAACCCATCAAATCTCATCCCATTAGAAATTTAAATAAATAATAGAAACACAAATTGAGCTCATACAATGTGAGAGTTCTATATAAAAAGCTTCATGCACGCTGAATTTTAGTCTCAGAATAAACTGAAGTACTTTTCAGAGATTAGAAACACCATAGATTAATTGTCTAACTAAGCCAAATGGCCTAGAGCTTTGCAGAGTCAGTGTTTTTTACAGTCACAGAGATGCAGTGTCAATGTAATGGATCTGAAACCTCAGACCTATTCAAAAACCAGAAAGGGTAAAATTAGTTGCCTAGTTAACCTGAAACTAAGTCCATTTCAGGGAATAAACTGTGCTCGCCAACATACTTTCAGGGAGAACAGGGGCATCTAATTAAGGGCTCTGAATTGCATCTGAGTTGTGGAGAATTTAGCTCTGTTCTTTTTTCCAGGAATCCAGAGGGAAGGGCAGAAATCAGATTTAAATGCATCTGCTGTGTTTAGCTTGTCCTCTTTGGATCTCGTTTTCCTGGAGCTCCAAAGGAAAGTTGGAAAATTACAGTGCAGTATCTCTGCGGTAACCACAGCCCTCTGACTGTCCAAATACCATCCAAATTTATGCTCAGAACTCCAGAGAAAAAGCTCACACAGAAAGGTTCACAACAACCAAAATGGCTGTAAGGGAGCCTTTGAAGTCAGCTTTTTCTGAAGGTGTCACTTGTTCTGCCTCTCTGGGGTGCAGACAGTTGCTGGAATTGCCACATAAAAATTCTGCAAAAAAAAAAGTTCACCCGTAGTTGGCCGTAGTTCTTTTAGTAAAGCTTCCTCCCATAGCAAATAGTGGTAGATCAATTAACAAGCTGGAGGGCCACTCACTGCCTTAGCTGCTACATCTCCGGGCTTACCCACTCTTTTTCAGCCTCTTTATCTATATTTGTATATTGGACTGCTTTATTTGGGAGAAAAGATGGAGAAAAGAACAAAGCATGGTATCTTATTTGGATTTATTTCAGGGCTGAGAGGGAGGGATGTTGAAAGCTGTTCATGTGACTTCCCTCTTCTTAGAACACACTTTTCTACACTTCCCTTTCTCCATCCTCTTTCCTAAACCCTTACTTATCAGACACATAATCCCAGGGTGGAGAGGAAATCTGAGATGAGGAACATGAACGGCCTGGGATGTTCTCTGAGCTTATCAACCCTGCGCTTCTGCTTTTCTCAGTGCTAAAATAATGCCCTGCCTTGGCCTTGGTTTTTTTTTTGTCCTTATTATTGTTGTGGTTTTGGTTTTGGTTTTTCTTGGTTTTAGGGTCACACCCAGCTGTGTTCAGGGTTTATTTTTGGTTCTGCACTCAGACATCACTCCTGGCAGGGCCTGAGGACCCTATAGGGTGCCAGGGATTGAATTCAGGTAGGCTGTATGCAAGGCAAGCACTTACCCACTGTCCTCCCTCTCCTGCCCTTACCTTCCCTCTAAGAGCATGCACAAGAAAAGGATGCTCGTTTTCTCCATTACGATTCAACATAGTATTAGAAGTCCTAACCACACCAATTAGACAAGAAAAAATAAATCAAACTGGAAAAAAAAAAGTTAAAATGATCACTGCTTGCAGGTGGCATGATAGTATGCACAAAAGACCTTAAAGACTCCACCCCAAAAAATTTAGAAATAATTAAGCAATGCAGCAGAGTAGCAGGCTACAAAATTTAACGCACAAAAATCAGCTGCAGACAATAAAATAGAAGAGAAAAAGACTAAGGAAATAGCCCCATTTAAAATTGGGTCTAAAAATATCACATGACTAGGAGTCAATTTAGCGAATTATATGAAGACATCCAGGGCAATAGCTCAAGGGTCTAATTCAATCCCCTGCTCTGCGTAGTGCCCTGAACACCCCCAGGAGCACCTATGAGCAATATGTTAGAGTAGTCCTGGGGCACAGTAGGGGATGGCCCCATGGCAAACAAAAATTGATGAGAAAAACCTAGACATCAAAAACCATGCAATAGGGTTTGGAGAGACAGTACAGTAGGTAGAGCACTTGCCATGCATGCAGCTGAAACAGATCCGATCTCTGGCATTTCATATGGTCCTCCGAGCAATGTCAGGAGTATTCCAGAGTATAGATCCAGGCTACCGCTGGGCATTGCCAAAAGTGCAGCCCCCGAAAGCAAAACAAACAAAAAATCTATCAGTATTATTCAAAATTTTCAATATCATTTATTATCAGGGGCATAGGAATCAAAACTACAATAAGGTGCCATCTCACACATATGAGAATGATCTCTTTCTCAAAAATCAGAAATAATGAGTATTGGTGCAGTGAAAAGGGAACCCCATTCACCTCAGGAGTATCATCTGATGCAGCCACTTGGGGAAAAGCATGATACTCTCAAAAATGAAAAATAGAACTACAGGATGGCCCAGTAATCTCATTCCTTGTCATCTGTCCCAAGAATACAATAACATTAACTCAAAAAGATATATGCACACCTTTGTTCATTGTAGCACTGCTTAAAATAGTCAATATATGGAGACCAGAGTGATAGTACAGCAGGCAATGTCCTTGCTTTGCACACAGATGACCAGAGTTTGATCCTAGGTATCACATATGGTCCCCTGAGTCCAACCAAAATTGATCCCTGAGCACAGAGTAAACCCTGAGCACCATCAGCTGAGACCCAGAAAAAAAAATAGAATAAAAAGAAAAAGTTGAGATATAGAAACAATCCAAGTGTCCAATAACAGATGAGTGGGGGATAAATAAATTGTATATTTATCACCCAAAACAAAAATCCCACCCCTCCATATGTGTATATTCTCAACTGAATACTACTCAGCTGTGACAAAGGATGAAATGCTTGTTTTTGCTACAACTTGGATGGAACTAGAGAGACTCACATCAAGTGAAGTAAGTCAGAAGGAGAAGGACATATAGCAAATGGTTCCACTCATATGTGGTACATATAGAAACAAAGGAAAAGGGAAAATAAAAAGGAAAGATGGTGCAGTAGGTAGGTACTTGCGTTGCACATGATGAACCTGGGTTCCATCCCCGACAAACCATATGGCCTCCAAGTTCCACTTACTCCTGGCTCTGAACTCAGAAGTGATTCCTCGACCGACCAAAGATTAAAAAAGAGACAAAGCAAGGAAGGAACAATATCTAATGACAACATACCTCTGGACTTGGAATTCAGAACTGAAGTTACCAAGCAGGATTGGGGGTGGAGGCAGGAAGAAGCAGATTGGAAGTGACACACAGACAGTGTGGATGGGCTTTGTACGCTGTAAGGAAAAACGTTATTTTAACCTAAGTATGTCAAGTACAATTTAAAGAGAGAGGAAGAGAGAGAGAAGAAAGGAAAGGAAAACATTGGCATTTTAAGGTGAGCTAGGTGAAGGAGGTTAGCTGTGGACTTTAAACTCTCAAGACGATTTAAGTATTCTGATCCACATTCTTTTTTGATGCAATATGCAGAATACTGTGTTCAATAAATAGGCTTAGTCTGGAAGAGAAACTAAGTCAATACCTGTGATAAAGACTAAAATTTCAGTCATCAAATGAGAAGAACATTTAAAGAAGAGAAACAGGGATTACAATGGAGGAAAACAGATCACCTCTCTGTGAGGGCTCTGCAGATAAGAAGATATGTGGGATCCTTGAGAGCTGATACTACTACTACTACTTTGCAAGATTTTATTTGTTTATTTTGTTGAGAAGTGTCCCAAGCATTTCTCAGCCCACAGGACAAGATGATGCTATCTAGGCCTCACAGTGCTCGGTTTCCCTGAGCCACTCCAACCTTGTTGGGGGGTCTCTGAGGCTGCATTGAACGATGTTCATGGCACCATGTGGTGCTGGGAATTGAAACCGAATCGGGCATAGGCTAGGGCATGTACCCCTAATGAGAGTCCCATGTACTGACCTCTAGGAAGAGGATTTTCTAGACAATAGAACAGAATGGAGGAAAAGCTGTGCGGTAAGGACAGTTGTCCCTGCTCATGGTGAGCCCAGTTCCAAAGCTGCAAAAGCAATGCCAGACACCTGCAAAACTGGAAGCCAAGCACAAAACTGTAGCATCCAAGCTTAGGAAACAGGAGGACAGGTCTAGAAAAAATGCCAGATAGTTCCCAAATTATTCTCAAAGCCATTTCCTGTCTTCTTGGCTGATTTCTTGCTCTGCGTATTCACTGGTTGTAGCTTGTTTTTTCTCTGGTGAGTTTCAGGAAGTTGTAACATGTCCACTCACTGAGAGGAAGAAAGCACAGTGGTCAGGGACATTTCAGATTTATTCCCTAGACGTTTATAGCCACAAGATATTGCTGAAAACACACTTTCTTAGGTTACAGGAATCCTCACTAAATCATATAAACCCTTTCGGGTAAAGTTTGGGAATTCAGACCATTTATAAACTGTGTGAGTGAATGACTCAAGTGGCAGAGAGCATGCCTTCTTCTTATCTAGCACCTCCAAGGGACATCTAGTCACCCCTTTCTTCTGCAAGTATCCCTAACAGAGACCCTACTTTGACGAGCACCTGTGGGTGTGGCCCCTATGAAAAATTTATTTTCCGAAAATAAATTGTTGGTGGAAGGGGAGGGGCAGATTTTGCTCTTCAGATTTTTTTGTTCATCACTTTCTTGATATTTAGCACTTGATATTAATTTGTTTCATTTCTCTCCCCCAATAGGAATGACCATTAAAAATAAGAAGATCTGCGGTTCCAAACATTAATTTCTTACCCGAATCTGCTAAACCTCTAGACCAGTGTTTTGCTTCCATAACTCATTCTCAAAGATGTAGAAATGCTTCCAGAAATAAATCTGTAAAATGTACAAGATTCCTGTCTTAGAGAAAGCCTTGGCAACTAGTGGAGGCTTGTTTTATCAGATTTCTCTAGTAATTTGCATGGTTTATTTTGGGTAAATCCTATGGCAGTGGTTTGCAGGGAAGCCAGCACATACTACCTACATGAATCATGACTACCTGTTTCTTACGCAGTTCTCTTTCTTCTTCTTCCTTCTTTTTAAAGTATGGATCTGAAGCTGAAAGAAAAGCCATAGAGAGTTGCAACTGGGAGAAGAAACATCACGTCCGCTTCGTAATTCTGCTGAATCCTACCAGGAAGTGGCAGGGCTGATGGTACTTCTTTCAAACACTTTGCACTTACCTGGTGCCATTCTAAATTTCTAAGGGGAAACACAGTAAGGGAATTTGTTTACTCAACATGTTTTTGGAAATTGTGTGTGTTTTCCTATTTTGCCAATTATGTGCCTCAAAGATTTTAGTTGAACCTTAGCAAGAAAGTAGAACCTCCCAATCTAATGTTTTGTTCATCCTTGGTGCAGTGGTATTTTGTCTCTTGTACTGAGATTGACTTTGATTCACTATGAGTTATGAGTGTATTGGTTTCCATAGATTATATGGATTTCTCCTGGTTACCTCTGTGGGTCTAAAATACACAGGGCCCAGTGCTTCCGGGTAAGTTGTTCCCACATAACTCCAACTTTAAAATCCTAAGTTTGGGGCTGGGGAGAGAGCTCAGTAGGCTGAAACACATGCCTTGTATGCAGAAGCACCAGTATTGATCTCTGGTCCTGCAGGAGTACCCTCACCCCCAAAATGATAAAATAAAACCCTAAAATTGTTTCATACAGCCATGTTTCATACAGACACGTTATGCAACCACTGTAAACCAAGTTGTTTTCCACCTGAACTGTCAGCATTGTCCACACAGTACGGAAAGCTTTGTTTACTCATTCTGCATTGGCAGTAAGCAGGCTTACTTCAGACAGTCTCATCCTGGGCTCCTCCAATGCTGTTAGTACACTTCAGTCCCTTGTGCTCCTGAGACATTTACTGTCTCTACGGGAAGAGGGTGCGGATACTGCTTCAACACACATACGCTTGCCCTCCATTCCTCCTATCTGTATATATACAAAAGTGTCTCAAAGCTACCAACAAATTTATTCTTTTCAAGGAAAATGTTGACATCCGCATGTATGACTTTGACTTTGGCTCATGTTGTGTTTACTAAAGCCAAAGTAAAGCTCCTCTTTGGCTAAAAACAGATGTGACTGACCTAGATCTGAAATATTCTTCAACTCCAATATCGCATATACTAACAAGCTAGCAAAAATTTTAAATGGGCCAGAAAATAGGATTCTACCGTAGCCCAAAGCCCATCATCCAGGAGACCTTTCTGGAACACTGTGAGCCCTGGGTCACCTAAACCTGGAGATGCTCTGAAGTAGAAATTTGAATTTCACTGGACTCCTTTGCTTCAAATCTATCTCCCAACCCACCTTCCAGAGATAGACACAGGTTAGCTTGCTTCTGTCCGTGAGTCCTACATCACTCCCCCAAGCCCCCAGCTTCCGTTTTACTTCATATCTTGTGGAGTTGTGTTCTTTTGGGCCTCCTCCCTCATAGCAACTGGCTGGTCTGATAGACAATGCTAGCATACACTCTCTCAGAGCCAGTCCCTACCGTAGGAAGTCAAAATGACAAGCCTCTGGAGAGCTTGGAGTTTTCCTAAGTACAGAGACCCAGTGTCCTGATTAGCTCACCCAGTTTGCACACTGTTGCCCTGGCACCTCTGCTTACAAAGCTCCCTTTTGCTCGGCCATGTTCTGTTTGGGAAGCTGAGTGAAGGGGGCCCTTCTGCATAAGGAGTATAGAAACCAGTGTTCACTCAGGCGCAGGGACCCTGAGGTCCTAATTAAAACTGTTAAAGAGTGAAATCTTGTCACAACCAACCAAACATGCAACAGGCTCACCATTCACATTTTTTTTGAAGCTTCCTCTTCCTACTTGGGAAATTATAGCATCTCTCCTGATTAGTGATCCTATTGGGACTGCTTTACAGGCTTTATAAACATGATAGTTAGGTGTCTGCTATTTTATTATCTTAAAAGACAAAATAATTGCACATACTAAAGAAAAGCTGCGTGTACATTCAGTCCAGATAACTAGACTCCTAGAAGAACCTGAAAAAAAAATCCTGTAGGCAGATAGAGGTAGACCATTGTAAACATTTGCATCATTAACTAGTTACACTTGCATTCTGAACATTCTTGCTTGGGTTCTGACTTCTGGGAACTGTTTTGCACTTTTTCTGTAAAATTGTAGTGAAGGGGATAAAAGGGTCATTGGGGCAAAAGTATTGTTTTCCCAAAGCAGCATCTGTTCTTTGCTGAGTTCTGTGATAAAGGAAAGAAATACAAATCTGCACAGACGTATGTGAAAGTGTGACTGAGTGTTGAATGGGGAAGACAGTTCTGAAGTTCCTCTTGAAGCCATAAAATGTTTTGGGGGAGGTTATCTTCTAAGACATACTTCAATCTATGTGAGATATCTGTGTTTGAAGAGCTCATTTAAGTATTTAGTTGTAATAACTATTTGCGACTCTCATGTGATCACAATACCTAAGAATCCTGCTCTCTTAGAAACTTTTAGATGTGCACAAAATAATCTTTTATATATTTAAAGTTTTTTTTTTACCATATATTGGATTGCTCAGAATAAAGGAACAATTAGACTCTGTTTGGTAAATAAACAAAATTTCCCTAAATATTGTGAATTAATAATATAAAAATATGTAACAACACTATATAAATAAAGCTTCTATAAATTCAGAAATAAAAAGTAGTTCCACAAATTATGGCTCCTTCTTTGAGTCCACAAGAATCTTTCTCTAGCTTCACTTTACAGCAATTTTCTCTGGATTCCAGTCAAGCTTGGCATTTGATACTTGAAGACAGTAGAAATTTGGATTTTCTTTTTTTTTTTTTTTTTAGGTCACACCCGGCAATGCACAGGGGTTACTCCTGGCTCATGCACTCAGGAATTACTCCTGGCGGTACTCAGAGGACCATATGGGATGCTGGGAATCGAACCTGGGTTGGCCACGTGCAAAGCAAATGCCCTACCCGCTGTGCTATCGCTTCAGGCCCTAAATTTGGATTTACTTGTTCCCAAACTTTATTTCCTTCAGGATCAGAGAAATAATGAAGGGAAAGACACTTATCTTGCAAGTGGCCAATTCCAAATTTGATCCCTAACATTACCTACGGCACCCCAGCTCTAAGAGTGATCCCTGGGCCACCACCAGATGTGGCCCATAATCCAAACATTCCCTTCTCACTATTACTTTTCATGCCTCAAGGAACAGAGCTTTGAAAATATGTTGTTTGCCTTCTGGGTAAGCAGTTTCTCTTTTAGTTAGCATCTTTATGTTCCATGATCACTTGGTTTTGTGAATGTCTTTTCTCTGTCCCTTTCCTGTGATAAATATCATAGCAGATATTTATTGTTAAAGTAGAATACATTAAGTAATGGGTTCCAGAGAACTATTATAGTGGGTAAAACATTTGCTTGGCATGCATCCGACCTGGGTTCAATCCCTAGAATGGTATAGAGATCCCCAAGCCCAACCAGGAGTGATCCCTGAGCACAGAACCAGGAGTAAGTCCTGAGCACCACCAGGAAAGCTATCCTCCCCACCAAAACAGAATCAATAATAATAAATTATAAAAATAAAATACATTGTTATTTTAGTTTTTGCTTTTTTTCACAATGTCACAATTCAGAGTTGGAAATATCTACTGTATTTCTTTTACAAGAAAAAAACACTAATAAACCAATGTGTACTTCTGCCTCTCAAAAAGTTAGTGAAGTTACCAAATTAGAAGTTTCTTTACAAAAAGCACTATTACTATCACTGTCATCCAATTATTCATCGATTTGCTCGAGCAGGCACCAGTAACATCTCCATTGTGAGACTTGTTACGGTTTTTGGCATATCGAATACGTCACGGGTAGCTTGCCAGGCTTTGCCGTGGGGGTGGAATACTCTCGGTCGCTTGCCGGGTTCTCTGAGGGGGCGGAGGAATTGAACCTGGGTCGGCCACGTGCAAGGCAAATGCCCTATGCGCTATGCTGTTGCTCCACCCATGAATGGTCTCATAATCTAGAAATTCATTCTTGTGGAGTGAATTTGCTCAGTCTTCTAATGAGCAAAGGAAAAGAGTCACAGGCAACAACAACAACCAAAAAAGGCATGATTCTACAGGGTGGGCTGTTGCGGTCATTCTGCTCCTTTGGTTAGTTATGAGAATGGGAATTAAAAGCAAGGCATGGTGTCCATTACAGAGAAAGGGTGGAAACCCTTGGATACATTAAAAGCAACAAACTTCGCTTTTATAGAAAGTCAAATCTCAGGGTAGAGTGGAAAACTAAGAGAAAGTTCAATGTTTATAGCACAGTGTTGTTTATTTAAGTCCTACATCTACACTTGTACACACATACACACAACAATGCTTCTTATGTAAAAAACATATTTGTTTAAGGATTTGGCAGACTCTAGTGATTGCAGAGGTGGAATGAATAGGCAAGATGAATTTGGGAGGCTAATTAAAACACAGCTGGAGCGATAGCACAGCGGTAGGGCGTTTGCCTTGCGTGCAGTCAGCCCGGCCGAGCCAGGTTCGATTCTTCCACCCCTATCAGTATCTTGCCCACACGGCAAAACCTGGCATAATACCCGCAACGTATTCAATATGCCAAACACAGTAACAATAAGTCTCAAAATGGAGATGTTACTGGGCCCGCTCGAGCAAATCGATGAACAACGGAAGGACAGTGTGTGACAGTGACAATTAAAACCCGACATCTGAAATAATCCTTTAGGGTTTAATGTCAAGAATAAATTAGAGGGAGAAAGTTCAAATGTACCATCCTAAAACCCAGACCTTTTAGCAATAAAATACCACACAAAGTTGGTGTTAGGGTCCTTTGGTTCTCCAAGCTGCTGTCCCCAGCTTCCCCAGTACGGACCATTTCCCTGTGTGGACACATCACTATCCACAGCCGCCAGCGCCTGCCCTGGATTACATCATCCTGCACAGTCACCGAGTTATAATTAAACCAGTGTCTTTTGACACACCAATCAATCCTCACCCAGCTGTGTGGTTTACAGACTAGAAGATTGCCTGTTGAGATTAAGTTTCCTAGAGAGTTTAATTCACGTTCATACAAAATAACTCTGTCTAACCGGGCAAAGTCATTTACTCTTTTTTGTCATATAATCATTTAAAAAATGGCATTTAGATATCAG